CTCTTTCCTTTTGCCAAGAAAATTCTACTGGGAGCTCATTATTATTTTTCACATGGATTTGTTTTATTTTTGACTTTTTGGAACAGGTGAGCTAGTGAAGAGAATTTTGAGAACTCCCCACGGGAAGGGAAGATGGAGATCTTTTGATAGATGAGATACTTTACAACCAACATCCAATCAAGGCCTGAGGTAGAATCATCCTTCCCAAAAGGAGCGCTCTCCAAATTTTGGAATGGCAACTCCCACAATGCCCAGCCATCTCAAGAAAAAATGAACCGGGTAGTGGAACATCGAGGGGAATGGGAGTTAAATAGGCAGATGAAGGACCGCGCTAAGCTTTGATAGGGAAGCCAAGCCATGCTTTAAAACTGGCGTCCATGGGACGAATCAAACATTTAATATGGTAGCTATAAACTGTGGGGGTAAAGCGCCACCTTTTTAAAAAAAATTTGTATCTGTCATCAGAAAAGTAAACAAAAATGGTGAATTTGATCATGCAGGTGGGGCTAACAACATAACTTCCTTGATCCTTCTGCAGATGTTCCTGGCTCCAACCCTAATATTGTCTTTATCTTAACACAAATATGATGGGGGGGGGATTTCGTTTTAGATTATTGATCCTACCTTTATTGCTTTTATAAATAAGTCAAGTGAGAGAATACTTATAGTTTTCCTTTATCTCCAGTTTTACCCAGAACAATTAGGTGGGCTGGGCTGGGCTGAGAGAATGGAAGTGGCCCAAAGTCACTCCCCCAGTTTTTACGTATAAGATGGGACTGGTACACATTCTCCTAGTGTACAGACCAGAAGTGGTATTCAGCAGGTTCTGACCAGTTCTGGAGAACCGGTAGCAGGAATTTTGAGTAGTTTGGAGAACCAGCAAATCCCACCTCTGACTGGCCCCGCCAATCCCATCTCTTCTCTGCCTCCCGAGTCCTAGCTGATTGGCTGGCTCTTCTTTGGTTGCCCTGCACAGGAGAACGGAGCTGGAAAGCAGGTTAGTGGGGTGGGGAGGGAATGGGGATTTTGCAGTATATCCTTCCCCTGCCAGGCCCACGAAGCCATGCCCACAGAACCGGTAGTAAAAAAAATTGAATCCATCACTGGTACAGACCAGTTCCTTAACTGCGACACTAAACTGGCTCTGTACGGTAAACTATCTGAAGAATGTATCCCTTAATCCTAACTGAAGCAACCTGTCAACTTAATCATTTTTCTTCCAAGTCAACTCCATCCCTTATGAAATTTTACAGCTGCTGGAATCTACCTAATGAAGATTTTGGCTACATTAGAAGAAGTAATGCATCAAATACATGTGAAGTCTCCACTCTCCTCTTTATAACATCCTTTTAACCACCACCCCCCTTCCTGAGAAACCTGCCTTCAATTTAGCCAACATTCTCGAAAGAAAGAGTGAAGAGAAGAGCAACAGAGATGATCAGTGGACTGGAGGCTGAAACATATGAAGAACAGTTGCAGGAACTGGGTAGGTCTAGTCTAATGAAAAGAAGGACTAGGTGCTATTAAAGAATATAAAATATCAGCATCTTCTGTCTATGAATCTAATCAAAACTACTGTCATTAGAATTACATAAATTAATAAAATACAAAAAAAGAAAAAAGAAGAAGGACATGATAGCAATGTTCCAGTATCTCAGGGCTGCCACAAAGAAGAGGGAGTCAAGCTATTTTCCAAACAGTTGAAGGGCAGGACAGGAAGCAATGGGTTGAAACTAATCAAGGAGACAAGCAACTTAGAACTAAGGAGAAATTTCCTGACAATTAGAACAATTAATCAGTGGAACAACTTGCCTCCAGAAGTTGTGGATGCTCCAACATTGGAAGTTTTTAAAAAGATGTTGGATAACCATCTGTCTGAAGTGGTGTAGGATTTCCTGCCTAGGCAGGAGTTGGACTGGAAGACCTCCAAGGTCCTTTCCAACTCTATTATTCTGTTAATACCTGATGCCAAGTTCCTGGCTGGTCATATTTGATGGTAGCATCTGAGATCTGACTTAGAGACTATAAATGAAATCTGGGTGTAATCCTGAAATCAAAGTGAGGATCTATGATCTCCAAATCTTGCAGAAATAAGCCTATGCTGTATCTCTATTTTTTGGCAGGGCAGCAGTATAAAACTCCAGCAGGCATACAGTAGCTTTTTCTGACTCAAAATTATAACAGTTGGGAGACAAATATTATAAAAATAATCTTCACAACGAGAATGAAAGGGGATACTTAGGCCTGTAATATCAATAAATTCTACCCGATGCATTTGGCAACGACTCTAATAGAAATTCAATCACCCATTTTATCGTAGTCAGTGTAACTATTCTGCTTCCTGTCCAAATACAAAATCCTGATTAGTAATATAAATTTTCTTCCATCCTAGTGCCAGGGATAGTGTCAAGGTAGAAAATTGCAATGGTGCAATCAAAGCTCCACCTGTTTTTTATGTCCATCATATCTGTGGGTAGAGCCTCACTTGTCCTATCATTGTTGCTATCTTGACATTTTTGAACAAACCCTGTGAATACTCCTGCCTAGTGCTTCCTTTTTAGTTTTTTTAAATAAACGTTCGCTTTTTCTCACACAACCATGGACATTGGTCATCTTTCTTCCTAGTTTCACATTATCTTTATTGATGAACTAGCTCGATACCAGCGTTTCGCTATGAAACTATGTGGTTGGGCTTAGTTTTGGGGGAGAAAAATAGGGGGGGGGGAATCTGCCTCTGCCTACCAGTATCCATCGGTATTCATCTGGCTAGCATCCTGTCAGTGTGTGTGAGAGAGCTGAGGACTGTTTGGAAACTGAAACAATATTTGCTGTGTGAGCAAGAAGGAGACAACAAGGAGCCTGGGTGTGGCTTAGCTCAACTGTTCTCTACTAAAGCTGCTTGCTGCTGTGAAACTAAAACTGAAACTCCTCTTCTCTGCTTGTGTTTTGCATTTGGAACAGATTTCTTTTCAGGTGGGGAGGGGGAGTAGAACTCCTTAGCATCAGAGTGTGTTAATAATAATATAGGAAATACTAATGCTCTGATGGTCATTTTGAAAAATCCTTTTTTTAAAAGAACACCTAGAAGCCAAGAGGAACATACATGCCAAATTTCAAGTTTGTAGGCTTTACGGTTTTGAAGATTTTGTGATGATGCATGAATGGTATTTCGCTTTTAGATAGATAGATAGATAGATAGATAGATAGATAGATAGATAGATAGATAGATAGATAGATAATGCTTTCCTTTTCATATTGCACAGTTCAAATTGCAAACATTGATGTTCTTCTTCAAGTTCCACAACTTAAAGACTTTCTCCGTCATGGATGGGTACCGTAAAACAGAACCATAACAGACCAAGCATAGTTGAGCAATCACAATGAAAAGACCACCATAGCAGATTGGGTCTCCCATCTCTGTTCACCTGTCCCCAGTAGGCCTGGAACAAAGAGGGAAACCAGATCTCTAAACTGTCCCACTAATTTGCACTCAGATCTTCAAAACTGAAAGCAAGAGAGGTGCCGTGGATTTTCTAGCAACTTCTATCAACCAACTTCTCTAGATGTATGTACCAAGACTAAAACTCCCAACAGCGCATGATATCATGGTCTGGATAATAGAACCTGTCCTTCAATGTACCTGGGGGACAGGATGAGCTTAACCGAGGGGTCTTCAATCTTGACAGCTTGAAGACTTGTGGACTTCAACTCCCAGAATTCCTCCTCCACTCATGTTAGCTCAAGAATCCTGGGAGTTGAAGTCCACAAGTCTTAAACTTGCCAAGTTTGAAGATTCTTGGCTTAAAGGTTCATTGCACAGTCAGAAGACCTGGGTTCAAATCTTTAAGGGGGCTTGCTTTTAAAACTGATCTTGGGGTCCCTCTCTCTTTCTCTCTGTCTCTTCCTCCTCTCCTAACCCACTTGAGAGGTTATTTGGTGGACAAGAAGAGGGAAGAAGCACTACCAAACATGCTACGCTGAGGTTTTTGGGAAAAGAGTGGGCTTAAGATTTACTCCGTAAAAACTGCATCACAATGAATTCAAAGGCACATACGTCTATCTATTTCCCTGGGGCTGAAAATAACAGCCTAGTTTTCTACAGAACCTTACCCAAAGACCATTAAAACGCCACCCCCCCTTGGCAAAAGCCCTAAATAGGCAACTGCAAAGCTGCTGTCACGAAAATCCAGTGCCCCCAGGCTGGCAAAGACGTTGTTGGTGGCATTTACATAATTGCAATGATAAATCAAAGCGGGGCTCTCTCCCAAAACTGCCCTCTGAAGGAGCTGCTCTTTTCCAGAAGGCTCCCAAGATTTTTTTTTTTTTAAAAAAGCAAAACGACTCTTAATTTGCCTCCTTTGGAGGCCATCGTCACATGGAGGGGGATTCTCCTCCAAGCAGCCTCCCCCTCCCCCTCCTCTTTTAAAGGACCGCGCAGCACCGAGAGCAGCTTTCCAGCCGTGGAGGGGGCAGGTTGGACTAGATGACCTCCAAGGCCCCTTCCAACTTTGTATAAAGAGAAAAGGGGAGGGGGATTCTCCTCCAAGCGGCCTTCCCCTCCCCTTCCTCTTTTAAAGAACCGCGCGGCACCGACAGCAGCTTTTCAAGCCATGGAGGGGGGGGGTTGGACTAGATGACCTCCAAGGTCCCTTCCAACTTTGTATAAAGAGAAAAAGGGGAGGGGGATTCTCCACCAAGCGGCCTCGACCTCCCCTTCCTCTTTTAAAAAACCGCGCGGCACCGACAGCAGCTTTTCAAGCCATGGAGGGGGGGGGTTGGACTAGATGACCTCCAAGGTCCCTTCCAACTTTGTATCAAGAGAAAAAGGGGAGAGGGATTTCTCCTTCCCCCCCCTTTCCTCTTTGAAAGCTTCCCAAAGCCTGCGGGGTGGGGTGGGAGAGGCTTTTCGCCCTGCCTGGGGAGTGGGCTGGGCCGGGCTGGGGACGGTGGCCCCCTCCCCTCCCCTCCCCGGACCGACGGGGGCCGCTGCCCCTCCTCACCTACGATGATGGCACAGGCGCTGACCAAGCCGATCTCCTTCTTGAGCGCCACCCGCTCCGTGTCGCCGCTCTCCGGGCTGGGGGCTTGCGGGGCGCTGGGGCTGTTGGCGAGCGGAGGAGCCGGCGGCGGCGGCGGCGGAGACGGCGGCTGCTGCGCCGCGATGCTCTTCTTCCGGAGGGTCCGCTGCTGCTGCTGCTGCTGCTGGTGGTTCTCGCCAGCCATCGCCCCCTGGCCCGGCCGCTGGTGCGGATCTTTGCCTTGGCCGCCGGCGCGCTTTGGCTTCGTCCGCTTCAGCTGGAGCGCTGGTGGGGGGGGGGGAGCGGAGGCGCATGCGCGGCTCTGACCCCCATCGCCCGGGCCAGGAACTTTCCTGGACTTTGGTTGTGCTGGGGGGGGGGGGGGGGGGGGGACGGGGGGGGGTGTGGGGGGGGGGGGGGCGTCCGGTCTCTGGGCATGGGGGGCTTCGGGGACGAGAGGGGGCTCGTGGAAGAGGGACACCCCCCCTCTCCTTTCCCCCCTCGCCCTCCAAGGGAAGCCGTCCTGCAGGGTCCAACACCCCCCTGCCTCTTTGCCAAGGGAGACAATGCGCTGGCATTGGGATGTTCCGGTCCAAAAGGGCCGGGGTGGGGAGGAGGAGGAGAGAAAGGGGGAGAGGAGCTCCGGCCCCTCACTTCCACTGGGGGTTTTTGAAGAAAAAACAAAACCAAGAAGAAGGTCCAGTTGCCTTTTTTTGGGTGGGGGGGCAGGAAGCACCTTTGGGACTTTCTAACTGATGAAAGGTTCTGGAGAACGTGGAGAGGCTTTTGTGTTGTTTCTCGATCCTAATCAATGTGTTTCTCAAATTGAGATTAGCTCTCTGTCATTGTCGTGGTTAGCCGGCAGCGGTGAGGAGGAGCTTCCCGAGGAGCCTGTGCCAAGTGTGCGTGAGTGCAGTGTTTGGTTCTGCTTCCAGGGCTCCTATGCAAAAGGCTTTCTTGAGATAATAATAGTCAGAATAGAGCTGGAAGAGACCTTGGAGGTCTTCTAGTCCAACCCCCTACTCAAGCAGGAGACCCCATACAATTTCAGACAAGTGGCTCTCCAATCTCTTCTTAAAAACCTCCGGTGTTGTAGCACCCACAACTTCTTGTGGCAAGCTGTTCCACTGGTTTATTATTCTCACTGTCAGGAAATTTCTCCTTAGTTCTAGGTTGCTTCTTTCCTCAGTTAGTTTCCATCCAATGTTTCTTGACTTGCCTTCTGGGGCTTTGGAAAATAAGCTTGACCCAGTGGTGGAATTCGAATTTTTTTTACTACCGGTTCTGTGGCTTGGTGGGCGTGGCAGGGAAAGGATACTGCAAAATCCCCATTCCTTTCCCACCCCAGGAACCTTCTTTCCAGCTCCATTCTCCTGTGCAGGGCAACCAAAGATGACGCAGCCAATCAGCTGGGACTCAGGAGGCGGAGACTAGATAGGGCGGGGCCAGTCAGAGGTGGGATTGGCTGGTTCTCCAAACTACTCAAAATTTCTGCTACTGGTTCTCTAGAACTGGTCAGAACTGGCTGAATATCACCTCTGGACTGGAGGCCAGGATGGGCAATTAGATTTTAGCTTTATTTTTAGCTCTTAGCAGGTTCTGGGTTGGGTGGGGCTTGAAGAAGCACTGAGTGGGGGCCAAGGTTCAAAATAGATGAGATACCAATTTCAGGTTTCTCTTTCTGTAGAGAAGGTTCAGAGCTTGTGCCTGACAGTTTGAATTTCTTGAAAAGGAGGAACGAAATCAGGGGCCAATCCGGACACAGCCATTAGACCAGGGATGTCCAACCTTGGCAATTTGAAGACTTGTGGACTACAACTCTCAACCAGCTTGGCTGGCTGAGGAATTCTGGGAGTTGAAGTTCACAAATCTTCAAGTTGCCAAGGTTGGACACCCCTGCATTAGACCGTGAGTTATCAACTCCTGTGTTCTGGGCACATATTTGCATCACCAAACTTGATTGCAGGAAATACGCCTTCAGCAACAGAGCGGTCAATGTCTGGAATACTCTACTCTGTGGTTTCTTTCCCAAACCCCAAAAACTTTAACCTTAGACTGTCTACTATTGACTTCACCCCTTTCCTAAGAGGTCTGTCGGGAGCGTGCAATAAGTGCACCAACGTGCCTACCGTCCCTGTCCTATTGTTTCTTTTTTCTTATTCATATCCATTTCATGTATTCATAACCATGTTTATAGTAACCATGTTATCTAGTAATTGCTTGACAAAATAAAATAAATAAATAAAATAAATAAAAACATGGTATCGCACATGTAAAACATGTAAAAACATGGTCTCGCACCCCTTTCCTAAGAGGTCTGTAGGGGCCGTGCATAAGCGCACCAACCTGCCTACCTTCCCTGTCCTGTTGTTTCTTTTATTTTTCTTATATGTATCCATGTATTCATGTATTCATAACTATGTTTTTACTCATACCAATGATCTTGTAAGCAATTGAAAAAATAAATAAGTACATAAAAATAAATCTTCCCTCAGGGTGCCCCCGCTGGCCAGGAGATTGGGAATTTTCAGTCTCACCTCTTTGCCCTCTTGTTCTGTTTTGTCCAATACAGAAACATGCGCTGGATGGCAATCAATTCCTTCATTATTTGCAGAAATATTAAGCTCTTAAGGGGTTTAGCTTGATTATTAAGCATTGTTGGTAGGCAGCTGCAAGCCACTGTGAACTGGCAAGAGGTTGTGATAAAGGGGTTTAATTTATTCAGCCCCTTTTCAGAGTTCAGGATTTAAATGTTCTTGCTCTTGGCTGGATTTATTTTAATCTTCTGCTTTAATCTTTTTTTTTAAGCAGTCTTCGGATAGCTTTTTATGGTTTTTGAGTTTTTAAAAATGAGTTTCTTTTTCATTTCCTGTTAAAATAGTTTTGCTGCGACTTTTACACTCAGGTGCTGAAGGATGTCCGGTTGAAATCAGTGAAACCTTGTTAATCGTATAAAAATAGACGCAGTTCTTTATTTTCCCTTCTGAACAGCAGAGCATAGTGTGCCATCCAGCTATAAAAAGTCCCTTTTAAAAAATATAATAAAATACACTCTCTCGATGCCGACCAGGACATTCCGTTTTGAGGAGGACGTGGAAAAACTGGAGAATAATAACAACAAACTGGATGAACTGGATGATAAGGTTGTCGTAGACCAAATTCTATGAGGAACAGTTGTAAGATAGTGGTTTGATTGACCCAGGAAAAGGTCATAACCTTCAGAAGGAATATTTTATTTATTTGTATCCTGCTTTTATGATTTTTTTTTGCCACAGAAAAGATAGAATGGGTGCATCTGTTGCGCTAACAGTGAACCAGGCTGGAATCCAGGGATAGATCATCTTTTAATGTCCCCATAATCCCTTGCGGGGTGGAGTCTGGGAAACTGAATGGAGCGGAGTGTTTATTGGCCGGATGACTTTCCTGTTGCCAATGCGGAGTTTTGTTCAGCAGGTACATTCTCAGGGTGCCCAGAGAGAGAAATCCTGACTGTGAGGTGAGAGCGCCACCTCTAGGCCACCGCGCCACTACAATCCAAGGATAGATGCAGGATGAAAACAGACAAGGTTGAAACTTCTTCACAGCATACTGGTAGTCCTTGACTTATTACTACAGAGGAAAAGCAGGATTTTCATTGCTATGTGAGGTGATTGTGAAACGAAATACGCCTCATTTTATGACTTTTTGCCGTGGCTGTTAAGTGAATCACATGGTCATTAAATTAATCTGGCTCCCCTGTTGACTTTGTTTATCAGAAGCTCGCTGCGGAGGTCACACATGGTGATCATGGGATGCTGAAACCATCATCGTGCCAGTTGCCATGATTATGGGACTGTTCTGCGACAGTTGTAAGAGCAAGGACCTATCATAAGTCACCTTTTTTCCAGTGCTGTTGTAATTTCAAGCGGTTGCTAAACCAATGCTTGTAAGTCAAGGACTACCTGTGGGCCAAGAGAGCAGATATGCCTAAAGAGGAAGTGAATCAAGGTGACCTCTAAAAGACCTCAAATTCTATGACTATCTGCTCTTAGGGGTAGCCTTACCATTTTTACTTATTATAAATACTTTTATAAGCTTGGGGTGTTCCAAGCAACCACTCATCTCACAGGGTTTTGTGATGAGGAAAATAGAAATTAGCTAGTAATTTACAAAAGTAATAAATGTGAGAATAGGAATAGGAATAGAGTAGAGTAGAGTAGCATAGCGTAGAATTAAAGTAGAGTAGATTAGGGTAAAAGAGGAGAGGATTGGAGTGGAATAGAGTAGAATAAGAGTAAGCTAGACCAGCGGTCATCAACTGGTGGTCTGTGAGAAAATTTTGGTGGTCCGCAGAAAAATTATTTGCATGTTTTATATTACACTGAATACTATTTATCCTTTTTAAAAAATTCATATTAGTGGTCTATGGGATTTAAAATTATGAATTTAGTGGTCCCTGAGGTCCAAAAGGTTGGTGACCCCTGGACTAGAGGAGAGGAGAGTAGACTAGAATTAGAATCAGAATTAGAACAGAACAGAACAGAATAGAAAATAGAACAGAAATAGAATAGAATAGACTAGAATTAGAATTAGAATAGAATAGAAATAGAATAGAATAGAATAGAATAGAATAGAATAGAATTAGAATAGAATAGAAATAGAAATAGAATAGAATAGAATAGAATAGAATAGAATAGAATAGAAATAGAAATAGAATAGAATAGAATAGAATAGAATAGAATCAACCTTCTTGGAACATCTTCCCTAAAAGAAGGCCTCCCTTGGCAAGCGATTATGATAATCACTCTATTGCTGCTACCATAGTTCAAATTTACTCGGAACAAAACTTGTGACTTCAGTTTTGCATGCCCCCAAATTTGCAGCAAAGCACCAGCGTGTGTCCTCCCTGCCCCCCCTTCACCGTTCACTCCCCCCCCCCCATGAATTGGAGCTCACTTGCAAGTTGGTGTGGTTAGGAAAGGAAGAGTAAAGGCGAAAGGATATTTTGAAGTGGGGAAAAAAAACGAACCCCATTGTAAAAAGAAAAAAGGCAGGGGTTAACAAAAAGCCGGTCGGAAGGATGACCCATCCTGAATGCCAAAGAAATGGCAATTCTCTCTCTCTCTCTCTCTTTCTTTTCTTCTTCTCCTTTTAAAGTTAAAAACAAAACAAAAAAAACCCCCAGAACTTGATGCCTGCCGACACTGCGGCGTGCATTAAGATGAA